ACTTACTAGCTGATCAACGCTGAACAACACAATGAAGTGTTATTATCATTAGTTCGATCCCTTGTGGCTATAGTTCACACAAACTGGTAATCCTAGCTGGACGGAGTCTACCCACATTGACGGAGAGTTGATAAATTGCGTCCCCAAAGAGTAGGTTAGCGACAAACACTGCAAGTACAATGCAGTTCTTACGCGATTTAATCTCAGAATACGCGAAACTCAACTGATTAAACTACGCTGATCTGGAGGGGTCTCGATTGTGGGGCTTTGTCCCTGGAGACTTGGTCAAGCGTTTTACTAGATTGCGTTTTCATATTCCTTGGTGGCCCGAATACGTATCCGTAACTTCACGCAACTTTCTTTTTTTCTACTGTCCCTATACGTCTAAATGTTTTAACACAATTTGCTTCCTACCAACCTATAGACAGGAATGAACAAGTGAATCTTTGTCCTCATACTGGATAGATAAATGAATCTGTTATAGCTAATAGGCTTATGGGATGAAGTGAATGATTAGTAATCCTACCTAAATGTTTTTGTTTAATTAACGACAAAGTAGATGCGAATGCAAATGTGTTTCGTTTCTCAAAAGATCGCTGATCAGTCAAACGCGATCTTTTGTTACAGACAGGGGAAATGTACAACTAAACTAATCAATGCGGGCATGTGAGTGTAGTAATATACAAGCGTTTGGAGAAATAAACATTTATGTTTCAGATCGTTTAGGTGGTCCTTGCTATAAAGAGTTCATGGTCAAAATTTCCAAAGACTTCTTTCGATCTGGTCTCCTTGCCGACCCAGCTCAATTCGATATCTGCTTTTGACTCTGACGAAATCTTTTAACTCGAGTAGGTCTGTGTGTCACCAATTGCTCGTCAAGGCTAACGGAGTTAAAATATTTTCTCCAAGTTAATCTACAGAAAAGTTAGTAGCCTGCCCATTATTTCAAGGTGACTTGTAAGAGATGACCGGAATGAACCTCACACGGAAACAAAACGCACGAATGTAAGTATATGAATCTCCAGGGTACATTTAATTTCCGACATATTTAGTCCTACTGGTTAACATATTTTTTGTTCATCCGTCACTGTTTCCTGACAAAACCGTTCACAATACAGTTTACCATGTTTGTCTTTCTCTGTGAAGTGAAATTATCCATAAAAAAATATCACACTAGAGCACGTCGTTCAGTTCACAGCTCAGTCACATTCACACAGTTTGCATCACTTCACTCAGTCGCGACTTATCGGAGAGGAAGAGGACTGAATTTCACCATCTTTCAGCAGTATGTTCACCTCAGTAAACATAAGTTTATCTTGTTCAACCAGGATAAAATTTTTGTGTGACTTCCATTAATCACAGCAGAAGTGATCCGCTACACAGCTGTTGAACACTTTCTGTGGAATTTGTTCAGTTAATTGGTGTACCGTTTGGGAAATACCGCCTAAGGAACTTACAAATCTTCACTATCAGATGAGACCCAATTGTAAAGAGTCAGGGCTTCGACTGTATTCGAACCAGCGAGAGAAACACCATGCAAAAATGCAGCAAGCGCTCTACCAGCTGAGCCACGAAGCCACTGACTATTAACTAACGGTGATCCGCCTTGATGGAGCTGAATTCCTTCAATGTCTGGCACTCCGGTGAATGCACCAATCCTTAGTTCACTGCTTCTGAAACATTCTACTTAATACGACCCTTCAACCTATTGATTGATGAGTGACTTTTGTGTGCAAATAACGGATATGTCAGTAGGGTAAACTGGCTAGAAAAGCAATAGTCGCTTGTTTAATGAGTAATCTGAAACACTACAGAATTCATTCATTTTGTCATGACCGCAATTTCACAAAGCAGAAACTTAAAAACCCGTTACGGATTATTGACTGTTGGTTCTCTTTGATCTTGGCGTGTCGACGTTTGCCAGAACACTAGTGTTGACTTATACAGAAAGTTTGGCTCATTGTTTAAGGCTTCAAAAGCATGTGGATTCTTCAGAACGAGCCAATCTCATATGGCTGACGATCCGTAGATAAAAGTCGCTAACCAGGTGAAGAAGTCGACCCTCAACTCCACCTCCATAACTATACTGATTAATAAAATGATGAGGTTGGTAAATGTGAGCATCTGGAGCTATGGTTTCTCAATTGCAAGGCTTGCAAGTCCCCCACATTATAGGGTCAGCATAATGGTATGCTATGCAACAAGGTCACTAGCTTCAACCAAGTTGACCCTTTAACGGACAAACATCGTCTACATAACGTAGCACCAAAAACACATATATATAGAAGCCGATAAAATTTGTTAGATACTTCGAAACAGTTGTCAGTGTTGGTGGAGGATTGACATGTAGAAGACGGACTCATTAATCAGAACATCAGATAGTAAACAGCATGACCATAGAAGTTCAAGCGTGAGCAGATTACTAATAATATAGACATTTCTACACTACAAGATGTGCGTAGTACTGCCCAAGCTTGAAATGTTGCCCAGTCAGATGAATGAAAGAGATGGTCTCTCTCGCTCATGTGGTCAATGATTTGAACTACATGAGCAGAGCATATATATTTTTGTCTTGAATGATCACCAATCTCAAATAACGATTTTCCGATCAACCAGTACACCGTTAGACTGACGTTCAAGTCATTTTACAACAGTACACCGCTTTTTAGAAAGTGTTCTTTTTTTGTGGTTGACCATCTATGGTATTCGGGATGTGGTACCTAATCAATCGGAGGGTTGACAATTACAGTGGTTTCTGGTGAAAATTGTTTACTGAGGGAATGAGCGGTCTGGAGTAAATGTCACCTGAACTATCGATAGCCGGGAATTACCAGGATGCAAGCGAACGTGCGACTAGTCAGACGCAGGAATCGAGTATTTTTCATATCAGGCTCGAATCGGCTAGCTGATGCTGTTCGACGCTGAACATCAGTTTTGTCCAAACGTGTACAGTACGTATATTTGATAGGTGCGGATAGATCGTTGGACAACACTTTGTCCAAGCTTGACTCAATGGGTAATTTGCATTCAATGCACGAATATGAGAGCGGAAACCTGAGGAAAACATTCTTATGTTTATTTTAGCGAAGACATACGTTATCTTTTCAGCATTAAATTAGATCATCAGTTTAACTTCACTACCCTGCTCAAGATGACATTTTTTGCTCGTTAGACCACTGGTTTCGCCATCGTTATTGAGAACATTTCTGATCATTTTAGCCGGCAGTTACTGAGTTTTATTATATGTTCATCAATTTGGACTATTTCCCCTCGCTTCTAGTCAATAATGACTACTCAGCACTTTCACGCGGAACAGCAGCACGTGTACCTTCCATGATTAACTGCCTGGGTGTGTAAAGCGGTGACAAAGGACTACTAGACGTTAGGGTAGCCGCAGCAACTGGATACTGCACACCAAAATAAAGCCTAGGCCTATAGTCAGTCGCCGAATGTTCACCTGTTTCGTTGATACAAGCTAAATTGATGAAAAATTATCTAACACGATTGCAAGAAGCAAAACTATTTGTGAGAAAATGTTAGAAAACGATTACTAATGTGCTGGCTGACTGGAAGTAATCAGTGAAGTTTTAATTTTTACTGAGGAATTTGTAACCGAAAACAATCTATCAGATTTTTATTCCACGTTTTTCTTTTTCTTTTTCAATGTCATAGGTTTATGGAAGGACATTCTAACAATGCGCTCCAATGCCATCGATGCACAGCTCGTAACACGACGAATATTCCCAACTATCTTGCCAAATGTTCACAACCCGGAGCTGACACTGTCTGAGGTGAATAGAGTTAATGTTACGGTTGTCTCATGCGTTTCATTTAGAAGAATATATATTTAATTTGATAATTCGTAGCAACCATGCGAATTCACGACAATGTACCAGTGCTTAAACAGATTTACTACACTTGGGCTGAACACCAGCTGACCAAATTGGTGGATCGTCTCTTGGTCTACAATCACTGTCAAATTGCTCAAACGTGACTCCATCGTTGTTTACAGACAGAATTAGCAACTGTCTACATCACGGTATCCTTTCATCTTACAAGCCGGAAGTCCTATCCTGTGTGAACAACACATGCAACGAGAGTGATCAACATAATTATTCAGTACGAGGTGGACAGCTAGTTAGAATGGTTAGACACAATCAGCCTCGGAATGAGAGATTGTACTGGGTATTATCAAAAATTCGCAGATATTTGATAACCTGTCCGCTGAAATGGAAGGGCAGGGAGTTAGTAAGAAACGGCCTAATTCATAGATGAGAGATTAAGCGGAACCCGAAATGAATCTAGGTCTCATGATAGTTGGTAACTGGCTGGCACGAATAAGTTTTAAAGAGAGCAACAAATAGATTACGTGAGTTTAAAGTCAACGATCACGTGTGAATAATGACCGAACTGTAACTGTCGAAATATCCGAATGTATTATAGTGTTGATGCGCACTGCTCAATTAATGGAAACAGATGACTTCAGCGATATCAATCGACCTTAAACAAAGGTCGTCAACTGGAATAATTAAACATCCTCTTAATATAATATTTTTGTCTAGATGTATCAATTAGACCATGCTGAATGTGATGTCAGTGGACAACCATATTCCACTTAACCACTAGAGACTCAGTTTAACTCATGGTTTTGCTGATAACGTTGTCCACTACTGAGAGCACCTAGAGACTTTCGAAACAGCTGAGTTTTAGAACTGTTTACTAAGGATGGGTGTATTCGGGGACTACTGTAAAATCCTTTTAGAAATCCATAGCTATATCTCCTGCCGTGTGACAATTCAGGTTTATAGACAATTATCGGCCGATCCGTTGGGATACAGTGAGATAAATCTGCCTCACTCGTTTAACAAACTCTGTATCAAGTGAGACCTTGAAGGGTCCTGTACGACTGTAAACAAGATTAAAGAAATATTACAAGGCATTAGACTTCAAGAAGTAACATATACGGACCATAGTGGCATAATGTTTCCAGGACTGATCAAAACATTCTCAAGAGGTAAAACTTTTCATTTGATTACTTACGCATATGCTGTACAAGGTGTTGTTACATAACTGTTAGTCTTGATGTGAAGAATGAATACCATATGTGACGCAACCTGTATGATTGAAAACGCAGCCAAATGGGGCGGAAGGTTCAGCACAATGTGCATATTATCGACCATTTTCGCGATCACTGACAGGGTGTAGTGTAATCTTACTGTGTTGCCAATGCCGTGAATCGACAGTGCGCTTTCGGAATAGGCATTTGGTACGAGATCGGACATGTTTCACGTGCTCTCGACATAGCGCTCGCTATAATGTGTTCTGTTTGCATTGGCAGTGATAGCTTTTGTTGAGGTGCGCTTTCTGAGTCTTGGGACCGAAAGCGTTGACGTCATTAGTTGGACTTCCAAGATTCCTGTTTGGAGTCCACAAAACATCAATCGCGTCTGGTTAATGACACTGTCAGGACTTAAGGAGGGACGCAGTCGTGTACATTTGTATTATGAGTTCATGTATCACTCAGCCGACGTACTGTTATACACCCCTCCTTATTTTGTGTCATTTTGCGTGTGCTCCTCTTTGCCAGTTATTAGGAAACATTTATTAACAACCTAGTAGTCAACAAAGTTATGTCTTGACATATGGTGTTTACTCCCGCATAAATTATAATCTGTTCTGGGGTACTCATCTTTATTCATTCTGTCATGTCTACTGTTCGTTTTCAGTTCCGGATTGTGATGTCTACTTTGTATGCTTTGTTGGACACACTAGATGTGTCTGTTGGTGGTTCGGATGCCAGTATAGAGGCCACACAATATCGTGTGATTCCCGCGGTCACGGTGCATGCACCTAACAGCAATGAGTACAGGAGCTCATGTGACGACGATCTTTCTACAACCGGGTGAGTATCTGAGGTGCATTTTTCGAGACATACTGAGGGAGTATATAGTACGGAAACTTGAACTTTACTACAGAATAATACACTAAACATCATTCGTTCATTATACAAATATTGTAAGAAGGTGTGGTGTTATAAGAAACGCTTAAAAAGCAAAGTGACCTCAAACCTGACAAATATCGACCACTGTCCAAACAAGGAGAAGGTAAGGCTTATGTGATGAAGGACATTCTGAGGCTGTTTAATACTATACAACTTAGGGACCGTGTGCTAAATAATGCATAGAGCAAGGGGAATGTAAATTTAGGGTAGATTTTTGCAAGTGTTTTCAATGATAAGTAACAGTTGATTGCCTGCTCACAACCGCTCGTAACCTTTTGTTCATAAAGAGTTTTGTTTGATCAGTGAAAGAGAAAACACTGAGCTGATGTTTCTCTCACGCCACCCTTTGCACCTAGTGAATATATTTGAAAGAGCACAGAAAAACAAAACCCCATTTTTACTTGTGCCTCTGAGATTATGATTTCGACTGCTGGTCTATGACGGATTAAGTAGGTTTTTAACGTTCCGTACCAAGTGACGGTCAGTAAAGCTTTCTATGCCCTATTGTATCAAGAGGATGAATGTTCACTGCACTATTCAATCAGCACTGGGCTGATCAAGTCTGGATAAAGTCACC